GGCGGCGGGGCGGCCACCGGCGGCGGGGCGCATTGGTCAGTGTGCGCCAGCCTGCGCGGCCTGACGTGGGGCGACGCCTTTGACCTCGACTCCATCGAGGCCAGTTGGCGGGCGCTGATGGTGCCGCTCCTATCGCGTCGCGGCGAGAGGGGCAGGCTGGAGGAGGTTCTCGCCGCGGTCAGGCGCCGCTGGCACGCCCCAAGAGACGCCGCACCCGCCCTCGCCGGCGACTCGCTCTGCCGCCACGGCATGCGAGGCCCGGCGCCGCTGCCGCGCACCCTCCCCACGGCTCTCTTTGGGGGGCGAGAGGCGATCTCGCCGCGCGCCTTTGACGCCCGCCTCGGCCGCGCCTGCCCGAGCTTCCCCCGCCGCGCCGTCGCCTCGCTCCGCCGCCACCTCCTCGCGCGAGGGAGGAGGCGCCCCTGGCCGCCCTCGGCCGCCCGCTTGCTGCCCCGGCCGAGACCGCGGTCCAAGGGAGGGCGGCCGGTGCGGCGGCGGTGCGTCGAGGCGTGGCTGGCAGCGGCGCGGCTCTCCGCCGCGCGGCAGCGCCGCGCCGGCGCGTGGGACTGCTACAACCCGAGGACGGGGTCGGAACTGCTCCTCAACGGCCTCCTCCTCGGCTACGCGCTGCCCAGCACAGCTGGCGCGCTGCTGCTGCTGCTGACGCAGACCGAGCTGCCGCTGCGCGGAGCGGCAGCCGCCGCCCGCGCCGAGGGCTTGATCAACCGTCCGTTCACGGCGGCGGCGTGGGCGAAGCTGCAGCCAGGCCGCGCATGGCCGGCAGAGCTGGAGGGGCAGTGGACGGTCGCGCGGGTGAGCCGGGAGGGGCTGGTGCTGGTGCCGAGCGAGCTCTTCTCCATGGATGACGGCCAGAGGGACGAGGCGCAGGAGCGGCGAGCGGACACACTTGAGTGGTGAAGCGGGACTGAGGTCTGAGCTCGGACTGCCCCGAAAGAGGGATCCGTCACCTGAGGGAGGGTGTAGAGGATGTAGAGTGTAGAGCGCTGTAGAGCTGTAGAGCTGTAGTGTGTAGAGCGCTGTAGAGCTGTAGAGCTCTACATCCGGCGCGTGACGATGCTGCGCCTGCGTTGTAGAGCGATGTAGAGGCGCTCTACAACGTGAAATCTCTACAACAACTGTCAACTCTACATCATCATCAAAAGCGGCGAACGAGGCACGGTCGCTCTCCGACATGAGGCGCGTTGCACTTGCCAGTGCTGCCCTGGCCTTCTGTCTGCCCGCCCAATGGGTGGCAGGTGCCTCTGCTGCTGTGGCATGCCTCACGGCTGCGACTGGCCGGCGCCTCGGCGCGTCAGCTCGGCTCGGCGTAGCGATAGTGGCCACAGCGCAACTCGCCTGGACTCAACGCTCAGCCAGGAGCTCCCGCACGCGCTGGCGCGAGTCATGGCGCATGCAACGCGCAGCAATGCTCGCCTCGCCTCGCGCAAATGCGACCGTCCTCGCAGCCGACAGTCCACCGCCTGCTACAGAAGCACTGCGACGAATGCGGCACCGGCGACGCATGGCAGGCTGGTCATGACGCAGTTATAGGGTGTTGTGTGCCGTCAGAGTGACTCGCATCGCCATCGGTTGCCTCCATGAACGGCAGAGCTATAAATTCTCGCGCGCGCACACACACCTCACACGCACACGCACACACACACACACACACACGCACACACGCACACACACACACACACACACACACACACACACACACACACACACACACACACACACACACACACACACACACACACACACACACACACACACACACACACACACACACACACACACACACACTCACACACACACACACACACACACACACACACACGCGCGCGCGCGGGAAGAGAGAAGTACAGCGATCGCCAACTCGCTGGTCTCTCTCCGCAAGGCCTCCCGACCGCGTCGAACTCATCGACGCGGGCTTCTCTCAGCACTCGGCTACGGGACCGGCCCCAGCTTCGGCTGGAGGGCTCCTGACAAGCTGCCGAGCCCAAATCACTGTGTGAGTCGTGATTTCTTGTTGGTTTTCAAAATCTCTCTCACTCACGGGTCACGGGTACTCGAGTAGATACGTACGGGCAGGCAGATACTCGAGTACGGGCAGACAGATAGAGGCAAATGCGGCGAGATACGGCGAGATAGATGGAATACGCGGAGATAGAGGGAGTTACGGGGAGATAAAAATCGTCCAGACTAGGACTCAAAAAAGAAATAAAAGGTATGTTGCTAGCCGTCGCCCACCCTTGGGCGTCCGCCTCTTCCTATCTCTCTTCGCAGTCCCTCGCCGATTCTCGCTGCAACCTTCATGCCACCTCGCGGTCGGAGCGGCCGCACACTGCTCGGTACCCCCCCTGCACACATAAGCCCATGGGCGACCCCCCCCCCAACAAGAGCGCTTTGTTGTTGGGGGGGTCGGGACCCCCCCCCCCAGCAGCAGCGCTCTGCTGCTGGGGGGGTCAGACCCCCCCCCCTAGCAGCAGGGATGGGCTTAGAAGTGCAGGGGGGGTACCGAGCAGTGTGCGGCCGCTCTCGTCCCACTCTCGTCGTTCTCTCTCTTGTCGCTTCTTCCTCTGTCGCGTCGCTCTCCTCTGCCTCGTTCTGCGCCGCCGCCTGAATGACGAGGTCCCCAGCACTTTGCGTTTCCGGAAATTTCCAGGGAAAACAGAGAGTGTTTGGAGCTCCATTCTGGCAACTCTCGAGTTTCCGTGAGTCTGAGAGCTGGTCTGGGGCAAAATCTGAGGCAAAACCGAGGAAACCGGCACAACATACCGGGTATTACCCTTCCAGGTACCCGCAAAATACCCCCTCCGTCCCCACCCCCGCCCTCCCCGCCACCACCCTCCCCGCCCCCGCCGTCCCCACCCCCCTCCCTCTCCACCGACCGGGTATTTTGCCGATTTGGCTGATTTTGGGCCCAAACCAGCCTCAGACTCGGCTCAGAGCCCGAAAAATTTGATGGTTTCCCCGGCGGTCTCAGACCTAGATTCTAGTTTCAAGAATGGCATTCTTCGAAGTAGAATGGGCGCCGCAGCGGCCCGTAGCGGCGCCCCCTGCGTGCCCACGGCCACCCCGGGGCCATGGGACATCCCCCCGGCCATCGGGGATGCTTGGTTTATCCATTACCCCATTTACACGGGCTGTGTTGCGGCGCGCCTCGAGACGCGCAGCGCAGCGCAGCGCGCAGTCCGCAGACCACAAAACAGATCAGAAGACGGCGGTGGCGACACCCGCTCTGGCGACAGCCCCGCAAAAGGCACTCGCTCGCCGGCAAGGACTACGGGTAGCACAGGCGGCAGCAGAGGTGGCGGTCCGGGTCGCAGCGCGCGTAGCAAGTCGGCCCCAGCGTCACGGGCGTCGGGCCAGGAGCCGGCTCGACGAGATCGACGAAGAGGACGAAGAGGAGGAAGACTACTCGAACTTGGACGAGGACTCGGGCGAGGAGCAGGACTCGGAGACCGGCCAGGGAAGCGACGACCATGACTAGGTGACACGAGGAGTAGATGTGACACGAGTAGTCCGCATTTCGCGCTGTCTGCTGTCTGCTCTCTTTCGCCGCCCGACCCTTTCGCCCGCCCACCACTTGCGAGCACAAATCTCACACCTCCACTGCCCTCGCCACAGGCGGCGACGGACTGACATCCAAGGCTCGAACGGCGGCAGCGCTCAACGGCCGCCGGCGGCCGTCGTGCGTTTGCTTTTGCCATACGTGGCGCACCCCCCGGCGTCTGCTCTGGTTTGGGGGCGGGGGGAGGACTCTCATTTGCGGACTGTTGGGCTCTCTGTGTTGAACTGGGGCTTGTGCGCGAGCCCCACCAGTCTGGCCGAGCGGCACGCTGCCGCTGGGGGCGTGAGAAGGCCGTGGGGGACGGCGGCGGACCCCATTCTTCGATACAGAATGGGCCCTCACCGCGGCCCGTCTGCTGCTGAAAATGTGGCATGAATGTGGGGGGCTCTCCTGTGTGACTCCTCTGGCTCGTCGCGTTAAAGTGGCGCCTGTGTGTGACCAGCCCCAACCCCGGCAAGCGCCCCCCGGCCGCTGGGGCTGCGAGACGGCCGGGTGAGCGCGCGCGAGACGCCATTCTAGATGTAAGGATGCCATTCTATAATCTAGAATGGCCAGGTACTCGAGTAGGGCTGAGACCGCCGGGAAAATAGAGGAAATGCTGTAGAGAAAACAGGGAGGAGATGAGACGGGGTGCGAGAGGCAAACAAACAAACCTTATTCAGCCTAACCTCTCCACCACCCTCGCCCAGGGATCTACAACGCTGTCTTAAGGTCCGACAGGTTCGGCACCGGGCACCGCCTCGGTATACAAAATGCGCCTGCGGGCGGACCCTCACAGATCACAGATCACAGCTGCCCTGTGAATAAGACAGTTTCTTTCTCTGTAGGTAGGTAGGTAGAAAGGTGAAGAACAGCCAGGCTCGGACTGGACACCAAGAGCTTGTGCGAGGGAGTTTTGTTGTAAAATGCTCCCGCTAGTAAAATTCTCTGTTGGGCGTGTTGTTTGGGCGTGCCGATGACGTCCTTTGGCGAGCTGCTCCAGCTCGCGGGCACGTCGGACCCGGCCGAGCTCTTTGGCCGCGCGTGGCGCCTCTGGGGCTCCGTTCAGCGCTCGATCGAGCCGGCAGCGGCCGAGGGCGAGCTGCGCTCGGCGCAGGCGCTGATGAGCATCCTGGTCGACGCGGGCGCGCTCTCCGAGCGCCAGCTCTCCCAGGCGGAGCTCTGTCGTTCCTCCGTCTCCGCGCTCCTCGCCACGCTCGAAAGCCCCGGCGCCGCCCGAGCCGGCGCTCAGCCAGTCGCAGCTGCGGCTGCGGAGAGCGAGACGCCGAGCTCCGATCTGGGCGCCGCGCACGCGGCCCCGCACGCGGGCCGCCGGCACGCGCCGCGGCCCGACGCGCTGCCGGCGCCCTCCATGCTGCTCGGGAGCGGCCTGCTTGCCGCAAGGCCCTCCCGCGGTTTGGCGGCGGGCGGCGGCGGCGCCTGCGGGCGCGGGGCGGAGCGCCGGGACGCGAGAACGGCCGCGGATCGCGAGGGCGA